AAAATTTTGTTCATTTTGAAAACAAAAAGTGCAATTGTAAAATAAGCGATCTTGTGTAAATTGTAGAGCTTTTCATGCTCCATCTTGTGGTATATTTTGTTTTTTAATACAACGTATTAAGTGATTGAAACATTTAATCTGTCTCATCCACTAGTAAAGTTTTACACAAAAACAGTTCTTATCGAAATTTTATTCTTATGATATTAGTTGAAGAATGATCAAATAGCATAGAAAAATAGAGCATTGTTTTCTCTATCACCATAGAAAAAAAAAATTTCTTCAAGCTTACTATATAGTATTAAAGTGTCATTGCCACTACCTTTGGAATGCCCTAAGTAATAGGTGATCAATAGTTGATCTCTTACATTATTATATGATGTTGCTCAATAAAAATATTTATGAATTTATTTATAGAAAAATCCATATTTTATTATGTGAATCTGTATACTATCATCATTACGTGTTAGTTCACCAGTTCCTCGGGAAAGGGAGGATAGATTCCCCTCTAGGTGACTGCTGCAGTTCCTAGGTATTATCAGCAGAATTGTTATAATTTCTGAGTTCCGTGGTAATTTTGGATATCTGTATGTTGACTTTTTTTCTTTGAATTTGTGAAGTTTGTTTTGCTGAGATTGATTATCAGTTCTAGTTATTTTCTCGCTTCGTTGTCTTAGGCAATGTCCTCTGGTCATCCTCAAGGAAGCATTTGTAGAATTGAAAAGTGATTGAGGATGGTAACCAACCTCATTTGACTGTGATGATTGTTCTTCGAGTGGAATTGATAAGTACCTCTAGGGGATATGTGAGTTGTTTGTGATCAATTTCCATATCCTCGAGAAATTTGTTGCATTTTACTGGTATTTATAGATGTTGGGAGGATTCCCAAACCTTAGTTTTTGGACACTCCTCAACCCTTTAAGAGTTTTCGAATTCTCAGAAATCCAGAAAAAGTCAGTTATACAGTGGTAGCAAAAACTTCCATGCACACTTTCATTCTTCATGAGAATAGATTTCAATAATCAAATAAATTTGAGTTTAACATTCACTACTTACAATTAAAAGATTAGTTTTCAATAAATATTTATTAAATAAAGTGAAATGACACAAAAAAATGTTGATGAATATCAACGAGCTCAATGTATTGCATTAAGAAAGACCGGTATGTCTTATCATGCAATCGGTACAAATGCTGGTATTTCGAGAGCTTCGGTTCAACACGCTTTGGAAAGATTCGAAGAAATTGGTGATTTTCAAGACCATCATCGTTGTGGTAGACTAAAAAAACTAAATCGACAAAATGTTTGTATGTTGAAGCATTGGGCTCAAGATGATGCTAATCGAAGTTCTGCCCCTGAAATAATGATAGAATTTAACAAATCATTAGAGAAATTGACCCAGAGAAGAACAATCATCAATTATTTCCAAGAATGTGGCTTTGAGTACAAAGGTAAGATTAAAAAACAGTTTCTTAACAAACAACATCGGAAAACTAGACTTCAGTTGTATTTGAAAGCAGGTCTTATTCAGTGATGAATAAACATTTTACGTCATTAAACATACGAGCGAAACAAAAATGTATGATACACAAAAGACGAACAATGAAAAGATGATTGTATGGAGGTTGCATCTACAGGCACTGGTAGTCGAGCTGGATTTTGAAGCGTTATTACATGGAAGGGAACAAGCTCTTTTAGAATTTACAGTGTAAATATCAATAGTAATATTTATTGTGACATTTTGGACAATTAATTGGTTTCAACTATAGAGTTATATGATTTGGAAGATAATTTTATCGTCCAGCATGATAATGCTCGATTACATACATCGAAACAAACTCAAGCAAAATTACATGAATTACATGCAAAAGCACTTAAATGACCCACCAAAAGTTCTGATCTCAACCCGATCAAACATTTATGGTCAATAAATTGATAACAGATTGAAATCACAACGAAAATGTTTAGTTAGCGAATTAACTGATGGTCTATGAATCGAATGGCTAGTCATAACACCACAATTACGTGACAAGTTTGTCTTTTCAATGTCGCAATGGATACAAAAATCTTTTGCAGCATCTGGCAAATGTATATACTATTAAGTCAATGTTTTTTTTCTTTGTATTTACTCACATGTTGTTTTTGTCACAAAAGTTTTTGCTACCACTGTAATAATTTCTTTGAAGGCAACATACCAAGCGAAGACGTTGGAGTAGACTAAACAGATTTCGACACTTCGATAGACGTTATAGGAGCTCTATTGAAGGTCCGAAAACCCGATATGTTTGGGATGGCGGAAAGGGATAACTAAATTGTAGAAGGATGTAAAAATCTTTTTTTATAACACTTACCATTTGTGTTTTAATGATAAGAAACTAAATATAAAAAATAAAATATTCATTTTGTATTCATAATATGTCACTCATCAGTTGTATCTCATCAATATGAGCCTAAATATTAAATAAAGGTTAGGTAATTTCTATTTGTAATATATAACTTATCATTAGTATTTAATCAATACGAACCTAAACTCATGTGTAACTTACAATTGGAACGATGTTTTTCATCGTGGATTCTCTATATGGGAAGATCAATCCTTCATTCGAAAAACGAAAAAATAGAAGAAAAATGTTTATTAATCGAAAACTAAATAGTATAAATTTGTATGTCTTATTATTTTCAAAACAATAGTAAAAATGTAGTCTCTCGACGAATCTCAGTGTGACCACGGTAAATTCTACTACAATGAAAGTGAATAATAGTCGAACATAAGTCTATCGGCATGAATCTACAGGTTAAAGACTTAAATGTTTCATTTTTATTTGATTAAAAAATAAAAGCAAGGAAAAAATCGAAAAAAGAGAACAATTTTAGAACCATGATTCATTACTCTTTTTACAACAATGTACACACACATATTGCTTAGATGCCATATAAATGACAATTGTCTGTTCACGTGTTCGCTCAAGTTGAAGTATTTCCCCTGATTTGAAGCCCTTCTATCATATGATATTTAGGAATAACCATTTATAATAACCATTTAAAAGCAAAAGCTTCTAGCATTCTCACTCCCTGAGACGTTTTAAAACCACATAATAGCTATATTTGATCGTTATTTTATTGAAATTTAATGAAGTAAATCAAGGAAAAATATGAGTTTTACGTTATTAATATTGTTTGTTTGTATATAGTTAGCATCATAGTTTTTCTCATACATTCAAAACTGACACTAACTCAAGAATGTAAAGATAACATAAGATTTTTTCTTAAAAAATAACAATGTAAAGAAATGATGATCCATAATTGAATAAGTTACACTAAATATATGAACAATTTTTAGTTAACTAAATATCTCTAAAACTGATTGAAAATGAAGATAAAAAAACTCGAGTACCAAAATTGTTCTTTTGATTAGTTTTTTGATTCTGACCACAATCTTTCTGTGAAACATTCAGAAAATTACAAAAATTTCATAACTCTTTCAGGGTGTCAAACAAAAGAATCGGAAACGGATTTTGGTTTCCCATTATACCTTTTTGAGAAGTGAATTTCGGGAAAACTTTCGACATCCGAAAAGGTACCTTCGGAAGCTTCTTCGAATACCGACTCAGTTTTTCCTGCATTATTAGTTTCCTATGGTATCTTAATGGTTTCTAAAATGACTATTAGGTTTCCTATAGCAAAAGAAAGATATTCTAAACCACTTTCTGGGTATCGAAATCGGTATTTTCGGCAATCAAGATGGTATTTTCAAAACCGCTTCAATTGTCCGAAAATCTTTGAAGGTCTAAGAAGATGTTTTCGAGCGAGTTTAAATTTTCCAAGAAACGGATTTTTTAAAAGTACAATCAGAAGAAATAGAAAATTATTGCTTCCCGTAAATATTCTGTTCCTTGCGTTTATGCTAAGGTAAGACTACCTATAATTTAACATATAATGGCTGGTCCATAAAGAATTATTCTGTTAGCATTTTTAATATTTCTCATCCATAAGACTAACCTAAAACAGCTCGAACAACTAGATTGTTCATTGTAGTCTGAGTCATATCGTATGAGTATAAGCATAGACTTCACATGAATACATTTTTCAATATTGCACTAATAATGGTGTAATCTCCAATTTTTGTCTCGCTATTTTAAGTTTAATGCATATTTTTAGACAGAAGAAGATGAATTGCTTTGGCAACTCTATGTTACGTCGGCAGCCGACTTGAATTCATCTAGCTAGATGTTTAAATTACTAGAGCTACAATGGGATCTACTATTCAAGTTCTATATAGACTGTCAGTATATGACATATGGTGCTACGAGAAGAATGAATATGACAATGTTCACAACCTCATTCAATGATTAAAAAAAGGTTTTATTTACTGTATGTAATCAGTTTGCATTAGTAACATACCCTTTCTGATTCATTTCAATTTTATTTTTTTGTGCTTTAAGAATGATGTATCAATGATAAAACTTGTTTTGAATGAATAATGAGCCAATATAACAAGTAAAATGAGAACACAATCAGAAACGTTCGATTCTTCTTCTACTTGTCTTGTTTTCACTCTTGTATGCTGTTTATAGTCGAAATGGAACAAGAAAGTAATATCTTTAATGAGTATTAATATTAAATAACTAACAGAAATAAGAAATGCAGATGATTTGATCTTTATCCTGCACTCTTTTGTTATATAAGTCAAACAGATGATTCATAGCATTACATTCTACTAAATGATTCGAATACACTAGAGAACCAAATCGGATTGGCTAATAGTTGCTTATTTAGTAAAATGGCAAGACATGAGAATATATTTTTAAAGTAATCTAACAGAAGCTTTGTAATATCAAAAGGAGTTAATTTCTTGAATAATATCTCTCCAAGAGCAACTAGCCATCAATGGAACAAGTTATTAGATGTTATGTGAAAAGTTACACTCAGAGCATGTCTTTTAATTTTTTTTTCTATTCTTTTTATAATGGCTTTATAAACTTACTAATACTCATTTCAAAATAGGAACAGTGTGAGTATTTTTTGAATAATTTTTGTTAGAAACTAGATAGAGAGGTACGATTTTTAGCGTTTAGAAGAGAAGATGAAACTGCATCGACTTGTCTATACCAGATTTTTTTTAAACAAGTTGTCTCAGAGCCTACCATCAAGTTTGTTAAGCAGAAAAGATTGCCTAATGTAAAAGATGTATGTTTTCAATTTTCAGAAGTGCAATAGAATCATTAATCGAAGATTGATATATTCTGTAAGTTCCCTATGTTGTAAGCTTTAGCCAATCATGAGTTTTTACAGATTTTAGTGCATATTATTGGCAGATTTTGCATGGAAAATTGACTTTTTTTTCTCAGTTTTTAGCAAAAAATTCACCTTATAAACTTATTCGAAAGTCTGGACTTTTTGAGAAAACTTGTCAGAAAACTCTGATATAGACTATTCGATGCAGTTTCATTTTCTCTTTTAAACAATGAAACCAAATCTCTCTATCTAGTTTCTGTCAAAAGTTATTCAAAAAATACTGACACTTTCTCTTTTTTGAAATGAGCATTAGTTCTCAAAAATTATCATTTTTAGTAAATTGAAATTCTGCTTAAATATCGATTTAAAGAAAAAAATTTTAATTGATAGCATAACGAAAACAAAACTTTACATAAATGATTTAACAGTTCCTTTTAATCTCCTCTATTTGTAGCTATATTTAGTTCTGACTATGAAACAGACAATACTACAAACTCAGAGGTCAATAATACCGAAAAGCCATGTTACAAATACACTCAGTCTGTGTATCCTATTTCAGTTTTGTTATGTTATACCAATAGTAAAATTTTTCTATTTGAGTGTTTCATTCTTTAGATTTCACTTTTTGAAAGAAGAAAAAAAATGAGGTCTACTCGAAATTTCAGTGCTGAGAAATAACTTCGGAGATCATTCCAAAGACTTGCAACGCACAATTATCACATGGCACTAAGTAAACGAGATGAGTTATCTACTCATCATTGTATTCGATTTGTTTGTTTTTGTTGCTGTTTGTGTTTGCCGATGATCATAAAGGATGGAGAATGAGAAAATAAAGAAATATGCAATTTAAATCAGCTCAACTGACCATACTATTTCTTTGTTCGAGAATGGTTGATCAAATTTAATTTCATTGCCATCTGCCGTCTACTTTGATGAAAAAAAAGCTTTCAGTGGTAAAAGGAAAGAAGAAAAATGTTGAGTATGAAATATTCTAGATGACTCGTAGATTTTTTTGTTGTTATCTGAGGAAAACAACTGTACTGTCAAAGTAATATGATCGAAATTAAAATAAAATAAACCAAGCGGATGGATGATGTAAAACTCGTTCGAAAAATAAACGTGTTTTATTCGAACACGAACGCAGAGAAATGCTTTTCATTTGAAAGAAAACACAGTGCAATGCGTTTTAAAATGCGTATCATCTAATATTTTATCTCATAGGGAGCGAACTTCAAAGTCATCCTTCAAAGATATCACTTCTAGCTTAGATATAAAAATTTAGCCCTGCGTCTATATATTAAATGATATCATGCAACAACTATTTTTTATTGCTTGATTTTCTTGGATTCCATTCACATACTCTCTAAAACAAACACGGTGTCATAAGAAATTATTGAGGATTTTACCCAAAACGCTGCACTTCTTAATGTTCAACTCGTTTATTGATACAATATCTTAGGTTCTAGATAATCTAAAGAACTATTCCAAGTATGTAGAAGAGTCCTAGCACAAGTCGCTTGAACTATATTGAAAAAAAAGGCCAAATCAATCCTCCAGGATTTTACAGAAGTTTATTATACCTTAAGAGTACTGTACTAATTCATGAAATCTCGCTAAAAGTTTTGTAATCTTATAGGTTTCGTACAA